GTCTTTGTGGTGTTAACTTTACTGCATAGGAGATTAGGGTGCTCAGCTGACTCATGTCCGATCATACATATGACAAAGTTTATTTCAAGATGGTCGGGTGGACATCATTTGATACATATGAAGGGTCAGCTGGGCATCGCATTACTACATGAAAATAGACCCCAAAATGAACAGCACTGAATGAACAACTACAACGTGAATAAATGCTAATCAACGGAGGTCAACATCATCGAATCATCGATAAATCCAGAATAATTATCACTTGAAAGCCAAGCTTTATCATATGTAACTGCTGCTAGTACACTATAAACCTGAAAGAACAATTCATATTAAAAACTCATCACGTTACTGGATATGTTGGTCTAATTGTTAAAAGGCGTAATCCGTTCCTTTCCTTCGCATAACAAAGTAAATTAGACAAATCTGCTTATGTAGTAGTAAATGAAAAAAAAAAAAAAAATTGCATTAGAAAGTAGAACGTTTTCCGTTAAATGATTAACTATTAGTTTTGTTTATCAAATAATTTCGATTTGTTTTTTAATTTTATTTGTTTGATTGTAACGATAATCCTTATGTATGACCTCTCGAAATGAAAAGCAACCAATAATTTTTGCACAAAGACATAATTGCGTTTTGAAGCCCTCATCAGATATGTCCGGCAGCTTTTGATTGCTTGCTAATGTATGTAATGCTCTCAGCGAGATACCAATCGAATCTAAAAACTAATTTCCGGTTGATTAGAATTTTAAATTAATATATCAAACATTGTGTTTAATAATACAAGTTGACAGAAAGTATGTAAAATGAAGTCATGTGAAATGAATGGAAATAAATATATTTGATGAGAGAGGAATAACTGAAGAAAGAGGTCCTTTCGTTTACTTTCTTTCTTTTTATCTTTCTGTTTCTGAAGCCAAAGAAGGGCAAGTAGAAAATCCGTCATCTCGTTAACTAGTATACGACGACAAGATTGTATTAAAGACTCCGCCATTCTTGGCCACTAGGGCAGACATCAACTGTCTATACGTTTGTATGCATACAAATATTTAAATATATATAGCATATTAATTTTGGCTAAAAAGTATTAAGCCTTTTAATGTACACAAATGCACTTCATTTCATATTCATGTTAGCATAGGTGATGCCGCTCTCTCTCTCCTATTCGGTTCAATATTTTTCTGATTACTTAGATTAGTATTTAAGGGAATTTGTACGTATATCGTAGAGAATTGAAATAACTGACGCCAAAGCAACACTACATTAATAAATTGAATATTCTAGAAAATTGCTGGAAAAATGTCATCATTATAAGGATAAATAAAGACAAATACCTGTAATTTTGTAAATAGCGACTCATAACGAAGATGCAAACTATACTTTTCTCTTTTCTCATTTCTTTTATTGTTGTTGTTATTGTTGTGCATTACAAATGTTAGGAAAATCATTGCTGGTCCGTCATTTCAAAATCCCAAGTTTTTGTTTCTATTAAATGAAAACATAATGCCGCAAATACATTGTTGTTTCAGTTGCCCAGTAAAATTTACTGGCATTTTGTAAGGCTTTATGGCTTTACGTATTTCCATCCATCCATTTGAATACCTGAAAAAGGGATTATATGGGTTTTTATTGTTGCAGTAATAGTCAAGCGTTATGCGTTTACTGCACTCGCAGGTAATATTTACATTCAAGTATTGGTGACATTTTGAAAGTACGCGAAAATATTCGCGTTTCTTTTGTTCCTAAGGACGAGGTATAAATATACTTTATCGTGGTATTCACAGTTAGTTATCGTTCAACATTCTTGAAACCAACCGCACGTACACAGACAGTAGCGTCTCATTCACTACAAAATTTATTTAAATTTTTTAATTTTTGGTTGTACATCGCACTTGTTAATGCTATGGGTTGCTTTCCAAGCTGTGTCTTTATTCCTGACAATAATGAAACTGAAGCCAGTTTCGAAGCTTATAACATGAAGCGTCCAATACGTCAAGCAACTTATAAACGTACCTATTGCAGACGGCAGGTGACAAATTATGATTCAAGTTCTGGTGTGTCAAGTGCTCATACCAGTCCAGCAGGACGTAATATTTTCGTAAGAGAACGGTATAAGCCCGCTGCGTCGAGAGCATTGAAATTCGAAGAGAAACCTATGTGTAATGTGCTTCCGGCTTGCGATGATTTTGATGAAATTGATGCTTTACAACAACAACAACAACCACAACAACAATGCCTACAAGAATATAAATCATTCGGCTATTATTCAGAAGACGATAGTGTTCTATCCACAACCACCGGTTCTTGCATGCGTCGCACTCAAGAGATAAGTGAAAATATATCGACATACTGCACTGCAGTAACATCTCCACCCAATAATGTGAAAATGGAAGTGTACATGATGTCCCGTACTAAAGGTTTAATGCCAAAAATTTCATCACCCCTATGCCAGAGACGGGATCAGAGTACTGACAGTTTACCTACGGCTACTACACGACGCTCTGCCTCATATCAAAAATGGGTTAATTACTTGGAAGAATCACCGGCTTATATGTCACAAAATATTACCCATTTACCTGAAGCGATATCTGGCCGTTTCTGCCCATTGAATTTTCCAGCCTACACGAATCTAGATGCTATGGAATGCGCTCATAAATGTTATGAAATTGTACGCAAGAAGTCTAATGTGTTAGTAAGCGCAAAAGACGAATCTTATATAGAAAGCACGGAATTGTAGAAGTATTTCACGACCTTACTGCACTTACGCTCGCTGCAACATTTACGCTCGTCTCGTAAATGCTTTGTATTACTTCAAAGTGAGCCCAATTAGAAGGTAATAATTTAGCAAGGCGTGACAGTATCAGAAAATAGAAGGATACACTATATATATATATGTACATACCTATATATATATATGGGGGTTTATTCAAGCGTAGTGAAGATGCTTATGCTATATGCTTTTTTCAACGTTTTTCGATCACGAAAAGAATATCCATTATCTTTGTTATTTTTATTTATTATATAATTGACATCTTTCTGTATCGAAAGCAATGCACTTACATCTTTATTTACTATAAAATTATATACAAACATATATATATATATATATATATTTATTTATTGCATATGAAAACCAATTAAATGTAAATAAAACTAAAAAAATTATTCTCAAAAAATCGATTATTTTTTTTGGTTTTTTTTTTGAAAATCTGCTAAGTTGACAATTCACATCGTATTCAGTTTGCTTATTGCAATTATTGCAGTTAACGGGGCTGCACACACACACACACACACGCCCACTGTGCTTGCCAAACAATATATGACGTAACAATTGCAAATTTGTTCTCATTCATTACACATGTATGGCTTCGTTTTTTGATAGACTATCGGTAAAATTTCATGATTTTATTTGCATTAATATTTAAGGCTTTCATCTAACATAACCTTGCAGAAATATTGTAATCTATATTTTTATTGTTGATTTGCGATCTTTGCATTATGGAAATATTGTATTTTCTACGAAATACTTAATTGACATCGTCTTTTAGAAGAAATATTACAATTATAAAACGAGGTAAAGCATATTCTAGTCGAGAACGGTTTGAACAGAAATTAATCTTGATTCAATTCAAAATTGCATCTTCTTACTTTTCAGCTAAGCTTCCATATGGGAGATGAGTAAGAAAGGTAAAGTGTTGTGCTCTAAATTTAGCCAAAGTCATTTTTTTATTTCAAGATTTTATTGCTACTTATTAACTATCTTTGCGATAAAGTAATAATAGCTCAATACCACCATCTAAATTTAGTGTATATTTTATATAGCAAGCGACTATTGTGGAACAATTTGCCATCATAATATGTAAAAAAATGAGATCGTCTTGTCATGTAAGAAATTACAAGGGATATAATACCTTTCGTCGCAAATTTCTCACATCACTTGAAAAACTACTGCTTATCGATTTTGAGAGATGCAAGTCTTTTTCCCATAACGATTTTCAAAATACTACCACCTGTATGGTAGGGAGTGCTCGTAAGATTGACGAAATCCAATTAATTTTGAACTTGGTTCGTCATTGAACCGAAACAGATTAGTGTAACAAACTTTATCATAGTATTTTCAAAATGCATGAACAGATTGCTGACAGTCAGCGGGACAGGCAAGCTTAAATCGATCCAGAAATCGATTACAAATCAATTGGTGTAATAAATTCTGTGCTTATCGTAAATCTTTATGGCTCTTATGTACATTCGTACAAATTTGAGTAACCCTTATACCAAAAAGTAGCGTAGCACTATAGCGTATCAGCTGTATCTGGCTATTCCCGCTCTTTAACGCTTATAATAACTTATGCAGTCTAGTAAATCATCGGTTAAAAGTGCACCGTTTAAAATGCTATCGGTCTAGTAAAGGGATTTAAAAACATTTTGGTGACAACAATTATCGATAGATGCGAAGATTCATTCAGCTTAAGGTTGTAGCTTAAGTAAATCCTTGTACGATATATAGAAGATATCAAGTTTATGATGAGTAAAATACAAAAAATGGAAAAAAAGAAATGAAAATATGAGACACGATAAAGTATTCAAAAATAAAAGCTAACAGCATTTCACTCAAAATTCAAACCATTTCAAGTAACACTAATATGCGACGATATAAGTTTGCTGCAATAAATATTAGAACACATTCCCTTTTGCATTGCACAAACACTGCTGGACTTTGCCAAATCGATTTTGGCGAATGTTTTCAATTTTCTCATTTATACCCTATAACATGACTACAACTGCGTAGGAAAAAAAGGGGTTTTTACCATTGTTTTTGGAATGAAAGGAGAGGTTAGAGTATAAAAATACTTTTAAGTGCTAGAATATATGAATAAATTTGAAAAAAATTAAAAAATGGCAACATCGAAATCAAGTTCGATAGAGTCTATGCCCATTTTCATGCTAGTTTGAATTTGAAAAAAAAAATCGTTTAATCCACTTACCTATAGGTAGGCGAATATGTGGGATTTTTTGAATAAACTGATGTTGGAATGAAAAAACTTTGATTTTTGAGCACAAAAAACACAAAAACCGAACAAATCGTTTATACATAAAAAAGGTTTACATGAATTTATCAAAAAACAAAACCGAAGCATTTCTTTTCCTAGGGAACGTTGTTGCTTTAAAGAGACCGCAAAATATTCGAATGAAAAAGAGTCAAAATTAGAAGCATTCTTCCAGAGATTGTTTTAACGATTTAGAATGCGTTATAGACATGCTTTTTCATTATAATGCATTTTTTCATTAGTCGGGTATCTCGGAATTATACAAATGCCCTAACATGTTCAAGTATTTTCTTCCCTAAATGACTTTAAACTCGAAGTGACCTGTATCCTCTCCTCACATTTTACGTGAATTCTTCATGATCAACGTCAAAGGCTTCATTTCAAACTTTCAATTAGCGATAGCTTTCAAATCGCTCTTAGCCTCATACCCATTCAATGTCTAAAGTCTCAAAGTAAAACTACGATAACGCGGTTTTGCTCGAAAACGATTTTAATTGAACATAAATACTTTCTACATATAGATCTTTAAAAAAATTAGAAATCAATAGGTAAAACATTAGGTTATAATGACCCAGCAGCTGTTCGTCGCGTGCACGTTATCTCCCACATATTCTACAATTTTCAAACCATTTGTTAAACAAAAAAAAAAAAAAAAAAAAAAAAAAAAAAAAAAAATTATTAATTTTAAAAAAAAAAGCTTCCTTAAGGAAAATAATGTAACTAAATACTATGGCCTGAAACTTATCAAGGATCTTAGCACTATGCTCATCGAGCTTACACTTCTGGTGAGGGTGACTTCGTACTATTGCATTATCATGTTTAGTATTTCAGGAACTAATCGTAATATCCGCAATACAATTATATTATAGTAATACATACATATATTATACTATACATATTATTTAATGTATATGCAAGCTCTCGTATTAATTTTTTTTATTGTTCGCTATACACGATGTATGTAATTGAGATTTGGGTGTAAATCAAACCAATTGCTGAGTCTCATCGTTTTGTGGTTAATGAGAAAATTTATCCTTCGGCTAATAATTGCAATTGTTGCGCTGTAAGCTTTACATGTTTTGGGTACATGCATACAAACGTAAGGATTCTTAAAACAAAAGATTTAAACATAAATTACTTTGGTATGAAATTTGCTGATTTAAGTTTTTACTGATATTTAGAACAACACTGCAGTCACTACACTTGGTTGGTATTGTCTTAATAATGAATGAATGACCTTAAGGAAATGTTCAATACTTGAGAATTGTAAAATCTTTTCAATATGTGAATCCTTCCTTTATCATGTAAATGAATGGTATCATGAATATACAAGCGTGCAGTCGTTGTATTTTCTGTGTTTGCAGCGAAAGAACATTAAAAGTAAATTTAAAACAAATTTGCTCCCCTCTCTTCTATGCACATAAGTACGAATTGTATATAGGGCCCTTTTTTTTGTTTTTGTTGTTATCAAGTTTAAAAGAATAAAGATGAAGAGATGGAGGAATTTCGGTGAAAATGAAAATCAATGAAACAGAAAAAGATGGAAAATTTAATTCACGCTTTTAAGCTTTTTAAGCATTTAATTCACTGTCTCACATGACATTCAAATTTTCTCCTAGAGTATTCTACTTAATGCTCACCCTATTGATCTTGTTTCTCGGCCAATAGAGAAAATGCGAACAACTTTTGCATTGTAAGCGATTTGTAAGGTCGACCTAATTGAAAGGATAGAGTGAAAATTTCTCAGATAGTTTCACACATAGATTCAGTAACCAATTTATTTATAATCAAGTTCGCTCAAGCAGATGCATGTAAGACAGTTCAGAATCTTCTTGCATTGATCAAAGATTCGATGCTCCTTTTTTAAAAGATCTTCCTCGTCTATCGTATTTCTGCCAATAACTAATACTAATGCAATGACACATAAATCCATATAATGTCATAGGTGATGGTTTTTTCTTTTCTTTTCTTTCCTTTTTTTTTTTTTTTTTGTAACAAACCAACGCGACAGGATTAATAATCAAACCAGAGATCTAAACTAAATTTTGAATAAAACGTTAACACATCTATGCATTTCGTTGTCTCTGATCGAACATTTGTCAAGCAAGCATCTTTAATATGCCGCCTTGAACGCTGTAAATATATATATATATTTTATTGGGGAAAAAAAAAAAAAAGTCACACTGCATAAGCAAAACTAAATTCTTTCGTTGCTATATTTTAAGGAATTCTCAGATTAAATCTGCCTGCGTTAGCTTTGGCTTGCGAAATATATGCAAGATATATGAAAAGCGAATTCATATTTACGATATACAAAGAGAGGTTCTTGCAAATGAGATAACAAATAATGCTGCTAATAAAGAGATTTGTTAATAGTTCCCAGAAAGTTGAGACAAAAAAAAAAAAAAAAAAAAAAAAAACAGAGAAGAAATAAATATTTTTCTTTCATTATAAGTACTTACTTGTTAAAGGAAACGATATCCTTTAAAGATTAAGAATAACAAATTAAAAACTACTATTTTTACCTGTTTCAGCTTTAGGTTTACCAAAGCATTCACGATGCATTCATGCTATAAACGAGTGCATAAAGAATTATTTAAGAAAATTCAAAAAGTACAGTCATAGCTATCTCTCTATACTTATCCATGCGATATGCGTGGATATATATTTATATATATATGTATATATACATTTTTGTTCTTCATTCGCATGCACAATTGTACAGTAAACAAAAGTTGTTTGTTTTCATATTGTATACCGCAACCAACCTGCGACGCGTTCAGCATCTCTTTCAACACTTTCAGTTTTAGTTTTGTTTAATAAAACTTTTCATAAGACGACGTGTTGACGTTATGTTAATGCGACTTTAACTTTAAAGTTAATTCTGACGAATGATAACGAAATAGTTGTCTTCGCAATTTTTATGATTCAAACGTATTTGCATTGTATGCATAAGAAACTTAAGCAGGTAAGCTAAGAAAAATGGGAAAGAGGACGATGCGAGAGGTAAAAGATAGAAAACAAAGAAAAACTTGGAAAACTATATTCATCTTATGAGACGCTATAGATACCCATCATCTAAACTGTATCGCTGATTATTTGCATTGCAAATGAAAATGTGACTTTTGTATTGGAAAAGAGTACGCATTAAATGATCGCATCGCGGTGGCTCTGTATTAAAACGATTTACCTTTGAATTTTGGAAGGAGAAACTTGACCAAATCTCGACATTGACGAGTCAATTAATTCCAAATACCTATTGTTAAGAATGTAGCGTATTACCAGCATTGCAATCGAGCCGAGCATTCAAGGAAGAGCAGACGAAATTTCAATGATTTGAATAAAACGCATTACGACAACGCATTAGCGTTACTCACACTGGCAAAACCACATATCTTCTGATTACTACTTGTTTTGGCTGATGGTTCAGAATATGTCTGAGCAGCAGACCGATTCTGGAATAGCCGCAAAAGACAATTTCATATATTATCAAAACTAGGAAATAAAGCAATGGCGAACACTTGCAATAAAGTATGACGAATAATTGTAACTTTACTGAAAATGAATTGTGAACTTCATTATAATCCCAAAACGTGCGTAGTTTGCTTTGTTTTGAAAACAAAGTCAAAGTTCAGATCCGATGTATGAGAGTAGTGATGGCAATCACAAGTGAAATCATCTCGATTCATAATTTTTCATATAATGTCGTCAAAGCCTATTATAAAGATCTCAGTATCCGTTCTAGATCTTCAGTTATTGAAAATAAATTGTTGACATTTTCATTTATTCTTTTTCCTTGTTTCTCTTTTTACTATTGTATTGACGAGTCGCCGAACTATTTTTAAATTTTTTAATGGAATTTCAAAACAAACCAAATAATAATTGATTGATGTATAGATGAGAAAGATTATGTTTGCTTATGGCGTAGCGACCCATTTTTGTTCGCTGCTGCAAAATAT